AGTAGTAGTAGTAATTATATGATAGTAATATGATAGTAATATGGTAGTAGTATAGTAGCAATAGTGGTTATTATTGTACCCCATTCCTCCATTCCCTAACCACCAAAGGTAAGCCTGAGCAGCATTTGGCCAGCCTTTCCCATGCTCGGTAGGTGGGTGCAAACGTACATCCACGACCTACACATCAGCTCACTTGACTACGGGGAGCTCCTGGACGAGCTTGTGGCCGAGGTCTGGGGACGTTCTGTCCCTAAGCCCTAAACCCTCTGAAAAGCCGTGGAGGTCGAGCACATAGGCAGCGTCGTGACCCAGAGTGTCATCTACACTGCAGTGCAGGCAGCACCCCAGCTGCAGCTGAGATCGGGCGGCAAGGATTGGGGGCGGTGCATGTCGCCTGCTTCAGTTGCAGAACTGAGGTGGTTACATTCATCTTCCTGATTTATATGCTTTGGAGTCCGGTCAAGGTGGACGGCAGTGCAGTTGCTGCAGAGGCGCTCGCTTGGAGATGATCGCCCACAAAAGAACAACATGTCAGGGTGTTTTTGCACGCTCAGGTCTTCAACTCCACCAGCAGATATCTCAAGGTGAAGTGTCTTACGTCAGCCTTCACTGGGCTGTCGATTGGAAGCTTGGCTGATCACTTTGCGGAAGTGGGGGTGCCGCAGATTTTGCCCCGCCCTAAACCCTAAACCCTAAACTGCTACAGTAAGTCCCAGGAATCTTGCTCTGGGCCATTGGCCTGGACCTCCCGGCTGCGTTCGGCCTGCTATCCTTCCTGGCCAACTTCTTGCCAGGCGCTTCTTATCCTTCATCATCTTCGAATGAGCTACTGTAGTGCTGTAAGAACTGATCCCAAGCGTCGTGTACTTGGAGGTTCATGGGTAGTTATAAGTGTGTTTATAAGTAGGGTAACTATACCTATAACCCTTTTTAGGGGACATATAACCCCATTTATAACTACCCATGAACCTCCAAGTAGAGGCATCGGGTCTCCTGCAGCTTCGGTGCTGCCCTGCATCCTCGCTATCATCGATGTGAGGAAAACTCCCACCCAGGACGGGCTCCGCCTTTGGGAGAGGGTTAAGGGTTTAGGATTTAGGGTTTAGGGCTTAGGGTTTATAAGGTTTTTTTAGGGTTTATAAGGTTTTAGGGTTTAGGGTTTTTTAGGGTTTAGGGTTTATTAGGGTTTAGGGTTTATTAGGGTTTAGGGTTTATAAGGTTTCAGGGTTCAGGGTTTATTAGGGTTTATTCGGGTTTAGGGTTTATAAGGTTTTAGGGTTTAGGTTTTGTTAGTGTTTATTATTAGGGTGTAGGGTTTATAAGGTTTTAGGGTTTAGGGTTTATTAGGGTTTATTAGGGTTTAGGGTTTTGGGGTTTAGGGTGTATTAGGGTTTAGGGTTTATTGGGGTTTAGGGTTTTGGGTTGCAGGTTTTGCTGGCCTTTGTCCTCCAAGCGATCATGCACTTCTTCATCGACTTCGTGTGCCTTGGGCGCCAAAAAGAAGATCCCTTAATGGGGGGTTCCTATAAAGTACCCTTAGTCGTGTAGGGCCCCACATTAGGGGATCTACTTTCTAGATTTCTCCGTGTTTTTGTCGCTGCAGCTCAGGAGTTTCCGAAAATTAGGGGTACCTTATTTGGGGGTCCTTATAGTTAGGATCCTATATACTACTTAGGGTATTATATTAGGCTCCCCTATTTTCGGAAACTCTAAACCCTAAACCCCTTCTAGATCCCTTTAAGGAACCCATTATCTGGTCCTACTATTTAGGGTACTAATTAGGGCCCCTCATTTTCGGAAACTCCCCACACTTTTTTAAAGATCCCTGTAAGGAACCCTTTAAAGGGTCCTCGATTTTCGGAATCTCCCCACATAAAGGGTTCTCTGTTTCCGGAATCTGCCCACAGCATCTTGTGGGGTACCTTGTTTGAGGGTCCTTATAGTAAGGATCCTATATACTATTCAGGGTATTATATCAGGCTCCCCTATTTTCGGAATCTCACCACAGCATTTTGTGCCAAGGATAGAGCCTGTGTTCTTCGGCATCTCTGTGGAAATCCACTCTGCGCTCAGCTTGAAGCTGGCAGGGAGCACGTTTCTATAGAAGCCTACATAAGCTTAGGGCTCCTTTAAAGGGGTCCTTAAAGGGGTCTATAAGGGATCTATAGTAGGATTCTATAATACAGAAGCCTAAATAATTACCAAGCATTTTTTAAGGTTCCTGATTATAACTACACAATAAAAGGACATTTTTTATTTGTTAAAAGGATAATTACCAACATTATTGTTAGGGTTCCTGATTGCGAATATTCTACAAAGGAGCCTAAAAAAACCCTTTTTCAATTATTACAATCCGCGCACTCCGCTCTAGGAGTGTCTGCAGACCGGACTTGCTTTTACACTTGTGCAAGTCCAGAAGGCCTGAATCTTCCTTCCCCCTTACACTATGACCACCGGCTGGCCAAATCAAAGCCAGCTTCAGGTAATTGTTATCCTCGGAATCTGGTTCTTCTACCAAGCTGCTTGGCTTGCTTTGCTGTCAACTCTTTCCATGGAGGCTTTGTCCCGCCAGGCTTCAGTACATTCTGTAGACCATGTTGCAGTCTCTCGCAGGTCTGGGGGGTTCCTGGCATGCTGCTCTCGGTGCCACTGCTGTCAGTGGTGAGGACAGGGTGCACAAGCTCAGTAGCTTGGAGTCATAAGCATTCTCACGATCGAAGCTGTCGTGTCTGTGCTCCTGCTGGCTCGAACGCTACAATGCGTTTCTGAAGATGGACCTGGCGAGCACGCCTCGCCGTGCTTCAAAGGACACCTCCACAGCCGCACCGTAGAAGCCCGGAATGTCGTGCGCGGCAGACGGTTGCGAGGCTGATGGCAGCAAGCGTTGTGGCCGCTGTGGCACTGTTGCCTACTGTTCCTCGGACTGTCAACGCCGGCATTGGCCAATCCACAAAGTTGGATGTCGCCCAACTGCTGGGTTCTGCTGTCCGCGAACTATCGAAGCTCTGGAGGAGGCCAGGAGGAGAGAGGCGGGGGATTCAGCCCCCGACTTGGAACGCGAGCTGAGAAAGGCCAGACAAGGAGCCTCGGAAGTAGATCTGAGCAGCAACGAGCTGAGCGGAGCTGCCGTTCGGCAGCTGGCCGAAGCCCTTTCCTCTGCGCCGAAAGTGCAAAACCTAAAGTTGGAGGAGTGTCGGCTGGACGTTGAGGCTGCTGCCCTCCTGGCGAAAGCACTTCCGGCTCTGACGTCTTTGCAGATCCTGAGCCTGGCGCACAATCAGCTGGAAGTCGGCGGTGCCGAGGTGGGAGTTTCCGAAAGTTAGGGGTACGGTCCTTACACTGAGGATCCTACTATTTAGGGTGCTATATTAGCCTCCCCATTTTCGGAAGCTCCCATGCAGGTGCTAGTCGCAGGCTTACAGGAGGGAGGACGTGGGGACCTAAAGCTGCGCGAGCTGAGTTTGGCTGACAACTTGCTTGGGCCACGGGCTGCGCTGTGTGTCGCAGAGCTGATGCTACAGTTCGTGGAAATGGGTTCTTTAGTTTCCGTGAGCCTCGCTGAGAACTTCATGCAGGAGGAAGGGGGAGAGTTCTTTTCCAGAACTCTGCGCGGAGGCGGTGGTCGCGCAAGCTCCTTGCATCTGGATTTGTCAGCGAATGATCTGCGGGTGGCTGGTGCCAAATCCTTGGTGCCACTACTGGATTGGGCTCCCTTGGGCTCTTTGGAGCTGCATGGCAATCGGATTCACGACTTTGGTGCGGTGGCCCTGGCGAAGGGCTTTCAGAGAAATACTACTTTGACACACCTGGGCCTTGCAGAAAATCTCATTGGTGACGACGGCGCCGTGGCCCTTGCAGGTATGCTGTCAAACAACAGCTCGCTGCGCACCCTGGCTTCAGAGTTGTGAAATTAACCCCCCAGAGCAGAACTAGGATCAGGAACAATCTTACGGGCCAAAATCAAACTCCATTGTCTAGGGTGCTCAACACGGGAAGGACCAGTGAGAGGAGTTGCTGAACCCTGCCTAAGAGGATTTTCGTCGAAGACTGGTGAATAGTGGGGGAAAGCAAGGTCAAGATCCCAGGCCGGTATCGATGCACTCTTTCCCCACGGTTGCTTCTAGACTCTTCTAGACTGTTTTTTTATTTGGTTGTCCGCAGCTTCTTGTCTTGAGCCTCGCCGTACTGGTGTAGTGACGGTGGCTGGTGGTAGTCGCAGGAACCGAACGAACTGTTATGTCAACTATGATTTTCATGATAACCACAGAAACCCTCACGATGCACTACTCAGATCTACTTCCTATTCTGCACTGCGTTGAACGCAGGCACCCTGGACCTCTGTGGAGGTCAGGGCCAGGTCATCCGAGACAAGGGAGCCGTGGCTTTGGCCAAGGCACTGAGCTCCAACGCCACTTTGGAAGGCTTGGAATCTAGGGGCCTTAATAATTACAGTAGAAGCCCAAAAGTTGGAAACCCCATAGCCTCAATCCTTAACAGTAATCCTGTATAGGGAATCCCAGCACTATTTGGCCTTCATCCGGTTTCCAACTAATAGGGTTCCTTCAAGCTTCCTTTAAAGGGTTCTGAAAAAACGGGTCCTATAAGGGTTACTAGAGTTACTAGAGGGGGATTACGAGGATTTAGTGTGGGGGCCTGAGTAATTAGAATAGGGTTTTTGGGCCCATTATACCAAAGTTATGATAGGGACGCCCCCCAAAAATAGTATAGGTTAGGTGATTCTTAAGGCCCTTGGAAGGCCTGGAGCTGGACGGCAATGGAATTGCTCTAGAGGGCGGGAAAGCTCTCGAGAAGGCGCTGTCAGCGAACCAAACCCTCACCTCTCTGACGTTGCGAGGAAATCAGTTCGACTACACGGCTGTGGATGAATGTATGGCTGCCCGTGTGAAGCATTTGAGCCTTTGAGTTGGCCAGGTGCGCTGGCCTTGCCGTTTCACCTGACACCTGCTTTACTGGTCAAAAGACAGGTAGCAAGAACAAAGTGGCACAACAGCATTGACATGTTGTGGACAGTTGGCTTGCCCACAGGATCATGATGAGGTCCATGAGGCATGCAGGGCCCAGTGGAGGACGCTGCTCAGAAGCCTGCTGTACAGCACTTTTGCTTCGGCTGCAGAGTGGAATCACGAGGCGGAGAGGATGCAGACACCCTGGCATTCCTGGACAACGTCTTTGCAGGGCGCTGGATGAGTTCTGTCGGAGAGACAGGACGGAAAGATTTGCCCTTCACCGAATATTTGGAAGGTTTGGCTACTCCGTGGCTCCCATCCGCAGTGAACTTGTCGCTGAGCCACACACACGGTTTTATTCGATGAGTTCGATTTCGGGATTGAGAACAGAGTGAGTTGCCCAAAGACTAGGTGTTTCTGTGCCTCAATCCCGTCCTTTTCACTCTCTGTGACAGGAGAGGACGACTTTGACCTTGGGGATCTGCAGCTTGGCCACAAATACAAGAGACAACGGATACCGTAGTGCTGAGAGTCGCGTGCTCGTGCCCTTAGAAGAATTGCCCCGTGTTTCTATCATAGAGTCACGAGCAGCAGTGGTGCCGCGGCGACGACAGACAACTGTTCCTCACCAGCGCCAGCACCAGCAACAGCACTGCCACATCCACGATTGCTACTTGAAGATCCCACTGAGCCTCTCACGTTTCCTCCAGGCAGATGGCCGGCCAAAAGTCAGGGGACAACGAGCTGGAGCCAGGCACAGCCTGACAGGATGCAAGCCGCGACAAAGTCAGCTTACAGTACCAAAGGTGCTGACATGTCCTGTGCTGCTACTGGCATTGAAAACAAGATGACCTGGTACAGTGCTACGAACTACGCTTAAAGCCTAAGATGAGTCATCGTAGACATGAGCAGCAACTGCACAGAATTTCTCGCATTGTTGCCATCAGTCCAGGTGAGCCACAGCCTCCGGTGTGTGGTGACTTGGCGAAGCAAGATCTATGGACCTCGCTGCAAGAGAGCGCCTGGGGACAGGACCCCCGACATGTTCTGAAAGTGCAGAATTTGCATATCAGTCTGCGGGGTTCTTGGGACAAAGATGAGTTGCTTTTTGTCTCTGAAGCAGGGCAAACCTGCAATATAGACAGCTTCTGACTCCGAGCTTGGAGTTTGAGTCGTCAAGCCGCGTCTCTCGGACAGGCCGCCGAGGTCCCAAGTTTCGAAGATTGCATCACCCTCGAATGCGGTGCCTTCCAGCCCCGATCGGACGGGTTGGAGCACAGAGACAGAAACCCTGTCGTCGTGTCGATTGTTTTGAAGTCCCTTCGCTTTCGCGTCGCTACTTGGCTAAATGCGGGTAGCGCCCCCCTTAATTAGTGAAAAGGAGCTGCGCCGGATTTACCTGCACAACCAGCTGCCCTGCGACATCTTCGCCATTGCTTTCGTGACGTGCGCAGTATGGTTGGTGCCAGTATGATAATGGGCATTGGCCAAGTGCGAAAGATTTCAAGCACTTTGGCTTTGTCTCACATGTACAAAACACAGCCCCTTGGCTGGCTTTCGAATTGAAAGACTCATCTGCATCGTTTCCATCAGTTCCCAATGGATGTCAATCTTCGTCATCCGTCCATTGCTTCACGTCTCACATGTCTCCACATCAAAGCGCGGTCTACCATCAGGAGAAAAATCTTCATGGAGCAGTTTTCGTGATACACTGAAGCCGGTTCGCTGCTGTCTCTTCTCTTCTGATTTGCGTGATTGGTCTTGACAATTGGATCCAAAGCCGTCAGCCAAAATTTAGTTCCCCAAAGAAAGCCCAATTGGGGCAGCTCGGCTGGGCAACGTATTGCAGTGTAAGCAAGCAGACAGATGTGCGGAGACTGGTGGTTCTTTTGTCAATTGTAGGACGAGGCGTTGCCCAGCTGCAGATTAGCTTGGAGTCTGAGTTCAATAGCGAACTCGGCCACACAGTTCTCTTTTCAACTCTCTGGGAGCTGCGAGGTCAGTCGTCAGCCGTGGTGGTGATGTTCTGTAATTTCGTGAATCTTCTCCGCTGTGCCTCGCACTCCCAGTTTCCATAAGACGTCTTACGTATGATGAGTAGCGGAATGCTGATCTCATGGCAGACTGTTCTGCTTGGAATCCTTGTTCCTTGGTTTAGTTTCCGAGCGTGCATTCCTGACACCACCTGCAACTGCAACTGCTAAAGTATGTTGAAAGATGTTGAAAGCAGGCTAATGCGATCCTGCCGTGGGCATTGGAATTGCGTGCCGGGAGAAGTTCATACGACGAGTTCCGCACACATTATGGTGGGACTCGGCTGTGCGAGGAAAAGGCATGGGCAACTACCACATTTCCGCCAGGACGCGGCGAACTGAGTGATGACTATGAGCTGCGGCTAGGGCTCTTCAACCAGCGCGTCTCCACTGTGCGTCAGATAAACAGCCAGGAGGGCAGTTGGAAGGCCTTCAGGGTCTGGAATTCAGAAGAAATACTTTGCTTATTGAGGGTCGGCAGTTTGGAAGAGACAAAGACAAAGGGACCAGATGCGCGCTGTTTCAGGCAGAGATCAACGAATTCGCAGACTACACGCAGGAGGCCCGCGTGGGGGCATTGCAAGTCTGACAGTATGCACGTGCTGGCAGGGGCGGTTTTGAATTGATGGGGGCAGGGTAGAGGTGGTTTGGGCTGGGGCTGCTAGTTGTCGACAAGGGAGTCCTGCAACGAGATGCAACACGCCTGCCATGCAGGAATTTCAATCTTTGCTCGGCCATCGACGGCTGCATCGTGGTAGCACGAACTTCCTCCAGCTGCAGTCGCGCCTTTCGGCCCTGAATTCACCACAACCTACACGTACCATCTGCGTTCGTTTTCGGAAGCTTGACTTTGTGCACCCATTGTTCGAACCGAGGTGTGACGCAGACAAGTGTACGCGCGCTCGGATGGCCTAGCTTGGGAGCCTCACTGTGGAGGTTCCGGTGCAAGTGGCTATTGGTTCTTCTGACATGCTCAGGCCAAGTTGAGGCATATCGAGGCGAAAGTGTCCAGGATGGCAGAGCTGCTTGAAACCCGTTCCGGTACGCTTCCTCCGGGTCTACCAGAGTCTGTCGACTGGTGGGGTCCCTGGCTTCGTGCTGTGAGACTTGTTGTTTTCACATTCGGTGTTACCCGGCGCTTGCTGATCTCCTGTGTTGCTCAGTCAAGTACCTGACGGAGACAAGCCTTCGCAGTCACTAACAGTTCGGATTCTGCAACCGCGAAACGAGAGCACAATTAAGCCATGATACAAAATCATACTAGCAGGCTCTTTGCCCTGCTGCCGGGCTGTGGCAATCGAAGTCCCTCCTGCTGTACTGAGCTAGCCAAGCCATCCGATCACCAGCACTTCAGGCGGAGCCAACTGAACTCCAGCAGCTTTGTCAAAGAGCAGGGCACCTGCGGATCCTGCTGGGCTCTGGCAGCCGTCGGGGCTTTGGAAATGCATGTGGCGGCCCCAGCCCGCCATTAAGATGCCAGCATTCGCTTCCAAACTTGCCTCGCCTAGAGCGAGAAGGAGAAGAGGTTTTTTTGGGACCTATGGGCCTACAGCAGGAAGGATGCAGAAAAACAGCTTCCCGATGGGCCTGCGCCAAGTAGGAAGGACGAGAGAGACCTTTTTTCTATTTCCAGGCAGAGATCACCAGCAAGCGATTGCCGTCAGAACTCTCCGTGGATCAGCTCCTCGCTGCTTGGACAAGCTGCAACTTCTTGATGCCGGTAAGCAGTGCAAGTTGCTTGTGTTGTATGTCTGCTGTACTTGGAGGTTCAGGGGTAGTTATAAGTGGGGTTCTAAGTCCCCTAATATGGGTTATAAGCATAGTTACCCTACTTAGAAGTACCCATGAACCTCCAAGTAGTCGTAGATGTCACATGATTCAGTAACCATGTTAAACGCCGTGGTTGTCCGTGTCGCTATCGTGAAAACTTGCCGTGGTCTCTGCTTTACACCTCGCGAACATGCCAACAGTTCAAAGTTTAACATTTAGTTGTCTTGAATGCTTATCTATCTTGACAGTGGTTCTGATTCAGTTTTGTTATGTTTCTAGTTTTGATTGTTTTGGAGGTTTGTTTTTGGAGGCCCCTTTGAGTTGTTTGTTGTCAGTTTTTGAATTTGTATCTAGGTTGTTGAATTCTTGAGTGAGTTCCGCAGTTCTTTTTGGTTGGCTGGTTGTTTGTTGACCCACCTTGGTTTTTGCTTGTGTTGAGCTGTGCTGTTTTTTGGTGTCCCTCCTTTTGTAGTATCCTTAAGGGAGGGGGGTCCAAGGGGGGTAAATAGCCTAGTGATCCCTAATTCTCCCTAGTACTCCCTAAGGATTCCTTATACCCTCCCCCCTTGAACCACCCTCCCTTAAGGATCCTATACTTTGTATTTCGCTAGATTGTTTGGAGCGTTTTAAACCATGTTTGCATTGTTTATTGCTTGAAGTTGTTCAGAGCTTTTAAAGCAGATTTTGTGATTTGCTCGTTTCCTGATGTTGGTTTGAATTCCCTAGTTGCTTTTGGTTGTGTTGGGTTTTTGTTGATTTCCTGGATATGTGTTTTTGTAAAGCATGTCTCTAGAGCGTTTTATATACTTTTGGTTTGATGTCCCCAGGCGTTGAACTAGTTTGATTTTGCTAGCTTTTTGTCTTCGGTTTGATTAGGTTGTGTTGACACGCACACATGTTTGTTGCTAGGATTGCGTCGCGAATCCACAACACTGTGGTGGCCTGGGCGGCTGTGATGGCGCCAACTCCGAACTGGCCTTCGAGCATCTCGGCTTAAACATGCTCAGATGGTTGGCCCATTGGGGTTGTGCGTGTGAAATTGCTGGAGCTGGATTGGCCTTTCCGGTAGGAGATGAACATCTACGACGAAACAAAATTCCAGGAAAATGTTTTCTGCGAGCGTGAGGTATGTGCGACAGCACGGTTTGTATAGCAGCGCGTCCTACGACGGCACCAAGAAGGGCGAGAGCTGCGCAGGCAGAGCGAGGCATCCCTACGTGCAGCTGCAAGGCTCGGCGCGTTGGGACTCCAGACTCGGTAATGTAGGGGCCTTAATAAATAGAATAGGGTGTTGGGGCCCGTTATGCTATAGTTGAAGTGAGGAGCCCCCAAAGTAGTATTGGTAATTATTTGGTCCCTCCATTAGTTGCCGCTGTCTGTTTCGCTGTCCCTCTTCGTGTTTCTGTGTCTTGGTGTCTCCACGCCCACATCTGCGATTGTGTGGCCGTGCGCGTTTCGTCCTTTCTAGGTCTTAAGTCGTACGACTCATCAGGGTTCGTGGAGAGTTGAAGTTCATCAGGAACGGCGCAAGTTGAAAGTGAATTGGAGACTTGATTGGAGTGTAGTAGCATTTTAGGTTGCATTGTTTGAGCTGCGTCTCCCGGAGAGTAGGCGTTTGGTTTGATTGTAAGGTTCTTTTTCAAAAGCTGGGCAAATTGGCGCTATGACTTCTCTGTACGATGTGTTGCTCCTGCAGACGTTTGGTCTCGCTCAGCACTGGAGCGAGGGAAGGACCAGTAAAGTATTTTAGATAAGTGTCTCCATTTGTGGGGTTGGCGGGGTTCCGAGCACGTGAACAAGCAGACAAAGACCTGCACATAAGGTGCTGTCATTTTCTGTTCGGTTTGCTTAGGCGAAATGACAAAAACGCCTTCCGTTGATGGTGTGGTGCATAATATGAACGGTATTTTGGAACATGACAGACAACACCATTAGAGTTTGGGTCATTCTGCGGGCAAGGACACTGCACAAACACATGTGTGTACCTATGACTTACAGACAATCTACCTGTAAACGAACAAACAAAGGCGTGCATAAATACATACGTGATCATACATGTAAGTGTGTGTATATATATATATGTGTATGTGTGTATATGTACCCTTAATAGGTATACTGTACTACATACATACATACATACATACATACGTACATACACGCATGCATGCATGCATCCGTCCGTCCGTCCATCCGTCCATCCATGCATCCATCCATGCATCCGTGCATCCATGTATATGTTTACTCACTATCGATCGTAATTTTATGCTTCTTCGCGTCTTCATGTTTACCCCTTTCCACCTGGTCTTAATGTTCGTTTGGTTATGTGTATACCATGGTATAGATAGAGGGGTCGGCAGCTAAAGGGATAGTGATAGTTAGGCAGGTAGATTTAGAATCAGATGTAGATCTAGACACGGACATAGACAGAGACACCAGACAAATAGATAAGATAGATGCATAGACAGCAGACTAATCTTCATATGCACGCGTATGTCACGAAAGCTAGCTCTGTGGAGCTCGCGGGAGTTGCCCTTTAGCAATTCACTTGTATTAAAGCACTAGGGAAAAAACAGGGTTTGCACCTTATCAGGTGGGACGTCCAAGAGTTAAGGTGGGGGGTAGGGGGGGGGGAGGGGCCCCGTGTGATGGACACTTGCAGGCTATTTGACATGCCCTTGCTTGCAACAGTGTAAGACATTTGCACGAAAGACACGTCAAATAGACGCTGAAATTTTCACCGGCCGAGCGCATCCTGTGCCAAAGTCGGAGCACATGTCCCCGGGACAGGGCACTGACAGCGCTGAGCGCGCGGAGGGCGCTGAGGGCACTGAGGGCGCTGAGGGCGCGGAGCGCGCTGAGGGCGCTGAGGGCGCTGCGGGCGGTAGTATATAAGGGCGCGGAGGGATGCTGAGGGCGCTGTGGGCGCTCAGGGCGCTCAGAGCGCTGAGGGCGCGGAGGGCGCTGAGGGCGTTGAGGGTGCTGAGGGCGCGGAGGGCGCTGAGGGCGCTGAGGGCGCGGAGGGCGCGGAGGGCGCTGAGGGCGCTGAGGGCGCGGAGGGCGCTGAGGGCGCGGAGCGCGCTGAGGGCGCTGAGGGCGCTGAGGGTGCGGAGGGCGCTGATGAGGGCGCGGAGGGCGCGGAGGCGGTGCGGAGGGCGCTGAGGGCGCTCAGGGCGCTCAGAGCGCTGAGGGCGCTGAGGGCGCGGAGGGCGCGGAGGGCGCTGAGGGCGCTGAGGGCGCGGAGGGCGCTGAGGGATGCTGAGCGCGCTGAGGGAGGGATGCTGAGGGCGCGGAGGGTGAGCGCGCGCTGAGGGCGCGGAGGGCGCTGAGGGCGCTTATAGGGCGCTGAGGGCGCTGAGGGCGCGGAGGGCGCGGAGGGCGCTGAGGGCGCTAAGGGCGCGGAGGGCGCTGAGGCGCTGAGGGGGCGCGGAGCGCGCTGAGGGCGCTGAGCTAGGGCGCTGAGGGCGGTGAGGGTGCTGATGAGGGTGCGGAGGGCGCGGAGGCGGTGCGGAGGGCGCTGAGGGCGCTCAGGGCGCTCAGAGCGCTGAGGGCGCGGAGGGCGCTGAGCGCGCTGAGGGCGCGGAGGCGCTGAGGGCGCTTATAGGGCGCTGGGGCGCTGCGGGCGCTGAGGGCGCGGAGGGCGCTGAAGGCGCGGAGGGCGCGGGGGGCGCTGAGGGTGCGGAGGGCGCGGCGCGGAGGGCGCGGAAGGCTGAGGCCGCGGAGGGCGCTGAGGGCGCGGAGGGCGCTGAGGGCGCGAGGGCGCTGAGGGCGCGGAGGTGAGGACGCGGAGGGCGCGGAGGGCGGTGAGGGCGCGGAGGGCGCTGAGGGCGTGGAGGGCGCTGAGGGCGCTGAGGGCGCGGAGCGCGCTGAGGGCGCTGAGGGCGCTGAGGGCGCTGCGGGCGCGGAGGGCGCGGAGGGCTGAGGGTGCTGAGGGCGCGGAGGGCGCGGAGGGCGCTGAGGGCGCTGCAGGCGCTGAGGGCGGTGAGGGCATGAGGGATGCTGAGGGCGCGGAGGGCGCTGAGCGCGCGCTGAGGGCGCGGAGGGCGCTGAGGGCGCTTATAGGGCGCTGAGGGCTATATATAGGGCGCTGAGGGCCTGAGGGCGCTGAGGGCGCTGAGGGCGGGGGCTCGGAGGTGAGGGCGCGGCGTGGAGGGCGGAGAGCGTGCGCTGAGCGCGCGGAGGGCGCTGAGGGCGCTTATAGGGCGCTGGGGCGCTGAGGGCACTGAGGGCGCTGAGGGCGCGGAGGGCGCGGAGGGCGCTGAGGGCGCTGAGGGCGCGGAGGGCGCTGAGGGCGCGGAGCGCGCTGAGGGCGCTGAGGGCGCTGAGGGCGGTGAGGGCACTGAGGGATGCTGAGGGCGCGGAGGGCGCTGAGCGCGCGCTGAGGGCGCGGAGGGCGCTGAGGGCGCTTATAGAGGGCGCTGAGGGCGCGGAGGGCGCTGAGGGCGCGGAGGGAGCTGAGGGCGCTGAGGCGGTTGGAGGTCGCTGATGAAGGCGGGAGGGCGCTGAGGGCGCTGAGGGCGCGGAGCGAGCGCGCTGAGGGCGTGATTGAAGGCGCGGGAGGGCGCTGCGGGCGCGGAGGGCGCGGAGGGCTGAGGGTGCTGAGGGCGCGGAGGGCGCGGAGGGCGCTGAGGGCGCTGAGGGCGCTGAGGGCGCGGAGGGCGCTGAGGGCGCTGAGGGCGCTGAGGGCGCTGCTTAAAGGCTCATGGGACTTAGTAAGTAAGGTTATAAGTAGGTTATACCCTGGGCATCCCATATTGATTACAATCAATCAATTTCGCAAACAGATATTGATTTTTGGCGCAGCGCCAAAAATCAATATGCAAAAAAACGACATATTGATTAGCATATTGATTAGCATATTGATTAGCATATTGATTAGCATGTTGATTAGCATATTGATTCGCATATTGATTCTCATATTGATTCTCATATATGATTTTCATGGCATTTTCATGATGGATGTGCATGCTTGGAAAAAAGCATGCATAATGCGATTGATTTGGCATATCATGTGCTGCAGTGCATGTTTTTGGAGTGATCGAATTGCATGCCCGCCGCTGCCCGCCGTGCTCCCAGCGAGAGTGTACAGTTCAGAAGCAGTCCACCAGGCAAAAGCATATGTTTGGGTAGGCACAGCACTCTACAAACCTTAAACCAGATCGGTCAGCAGGCCGGCAGCAGCAGTACAGCACTATGCAGGCAGCAGAGCAGCCAGAGCAGGCAGAGTAGGCAGCGAAAGTAGGTAGGTAGTCGCCTTCCTCCCCTGGCCTTCCTGCGAAAGTTTCACCTGCAACAGCAGGTTTTTTGGTTCTCTTCGGAAAATATAGGCTTGGGAAAGCCTGGATTGCGAAAGCCCAACTGTTACTTCATCGGTTTGGGAAAACCGGTTCGGCGAAGCTTGGGAAAGCTTAAGCTGTCCACTTGGGAAAGATGGGCAGGGGCGGGGCAAGGCATAGTCCGAAGCCCATGATAGACTCCGGGGTCCTTTATACGGCCCTGAAGCTCTATCAGCCCATGGTCGCCGACATGGGCGCTTACGAGCGGATAAGCAGCAGCCAGGCCCCGGACTGGAAAGCCCTGGTGGGCCTGGCGGACCTGTGGAGAAACCTTTTGAAGGTTTCTCCAAGTGGGGAGGTCCATGCCCAGCCCCTCAGGGCGGCTCTGCTGTCGCTCCTTGCACACTGTCCGTCGCTCAATTCCTCGGATTGCAGCGGACAGGTGTGGGTTGGGCTAAGGGTGGAAAGGATCAACTGTCTGTTGACCCATCTTCGCAAGATAAAGCGAGATGGAGAAGGCGCCTTGGGAAAGGCAGCAGCCAAGCTCAGCAGACAGGAGTTCCAGCAGCTGCAGGCTGGGCTGCAGTTGCTCACCCTTAAAGACGAGGAAAGCTTGGAAAAGCCCTCGTCCGCCCAGCCGGACTTGGGAAAGTCGGGGCCTGGCAAAAGCAGAGACTTGGAAAAGACACCCAGGAAGCTTAAGAAGCGGGACAGCGACGACGTGTCGCTCAACAGCTTCGGCCTGCCACGAATGTTCGACAGCCCCCCAGCCTCGAAGAAGCAGCGAGGAGAGCCCAGCTCTTCGTCCAAGGACCCCGGGGTTGGCTTGGAAAAGCCATCGTCGAGTTTGGCACTTGTCCCCTTTGAGCCGGACCTGGTCTCCAGGAAAAGAGCCGGGAGCAGGGTTCCGGCAAAGCAGGAGAACCTTTCTGAGCTCCTGGGCTACTCAGCCCCTGC